CGCGGGCGCTGCGTGCGCGCTGCTGGGGGGCCGGGCGGAAGCGGTCTGGGCGGGGCCGCGCGCTCCCTCCGCCCGCCCGGGCGCCCGCCCGGACTCAGCCCGCCCAGCTGGGGGTGTGGCCGGCGCCGCCTCGCCCCGCCCCCTCCGCGCCCCAGCCCTGGGACCTCAGGGCCCGGGCGCCAGGAGCCTCTCCCGCCATTCTGGGGCGGGCGCGGGCGGGGAGGTTGCTCGCGCGGCCTCCGCGCCCCGGGGCGCCCCAGGGATGGGGTCTCGGCCGAGCTTCCCCGGGAGGCGCGCGAGCCTGTCCCCGCGCCCCCTGCGCCCCAGCCCGGAAGGCTGGGGGGAGGCGGGACCGGCTAGGGAGCGGGAGGGCGGGGAGGCGGGACCGGCTAGGGAGCGGGAGGGCGTGGCTTAAAGAAAAGTAAAGTTAAAAAATAAATCTGGAGTTGGATGCGGATGGGGCGCGCTCAGCCGACCGCGCGGTGCCCGCGAGTCCCGGCGGTCGGCCGCCACGTCCGGCGAATAAACCATCGGGACCAAGCCCGCTCCCAGCCCTGGCTTGTTGGACTGCGGTCATGTAAGATACGCACCATGGGGGAGGCGCGGAGCTGCGCTCCCGGAGCGTTTCTTGACAGCTTCCGATAAATCTTTAATTATTTCAAAAGAACCATTTTTTAAAATACTAAGAGGCAGGTAACAATCAGACAACTACCAAATGCGGCGCATGCAACTTGACGGGCAGCTGGTGTAAACACACCAGGGACGATTTCGGAAAAGAAACGCAGGACGGTCACAGACAACTACACAACGATAGCGTTAGGTTTTCCCTAATGGGAAGTGTGTCCCAGGCCATCTTTGGTTATAGTTATACCCCCAAAATGTAGGGGCTGTATCTGAAATGCAAATGTAACTAGACGGATGCGGCCACTATCTTTCCGGGGATCTCGTTAAAGTGGTCCTTGGACCACAGCGGGCCGGGCAAGGAACGCCTGGAATCGGTCTTTCAGAGCAGCCCCCAGGGCTATCGGGGCCGCAGGTCCGCGGACCACAGTTTGAGCAGCGAGAGGGCACCGAGCCTGCCCTATCGTTTGGCGGGATTCCAACGATTCCGCCCTTTAAAGGGAGGGTCCTGCCCCTGAGTCCTCGAGTCGGCGTGGGGACGGTCTGTCGCAGAGGCCAGAACTTCAGAAAGAAGGCGTTTTACGGGGGATCAGGCCGGGCCTGCCTCGCTTGGCCAACTGGGAGGGGGTGACAGGAAATCAGAACCGGCTCTGGGTGTGGTGTTCTGGCCCCCGGCTGACAGCCGCGCCCCAGCCCTCCTCTGCACATTGTGGGTGGCTTTTTCCCCGGGCGAGACGCCTGCTCTCTGCTGGTTGCCAGATCTTGAGCTGGAATGCGAAAAATGCGCTCCAGGAGCTGGCCGCGTGCGCCCCAGCGGCTGCTTAGACAAGGACTGATCCCCTGCGCTGAGGCCACCAGGCCGTGCCCCGCGGAGGGGCGACCGGTACGGTCCACGCCGGGCAAGGACGCGACTGCACGCGGAGCGCGCGCCCGCTCCCCGCGGACGCGACCTTGTGACTGCGGTCGGGCTGGCTAATTAAGGTCGATGGTCAAGGCTAGGGTTTCACGCCCAGTGAAAGGCACGCCTTGCCCTTCTAATGGCAGCCGGGGAGGAAAAAGTAACAGAGACGCTTGCAGAGTTAAACTCTGGATGGCGGAGTGGATCTGACCCTTCCTCGCCCGCCCAGAGCTTGACCGCATACCCACCTGTTCCTATAAATATCCCGGCGGGTTTCACAACACCTTGATGAACAAAGCGGCTTTCATCTGGAAGGCTCATAAAAATTCTTCAGAAACCACAGCATATTTCTTGAAAGGCAAAAAGGAAAAAAAGCCCTGCAAGCGAGGCATTACAGGGTCATTTGTACCGCCTTTCTGATGAGCATTCGGTGGTGATGGGGCAGGGAAATACCGAACTCTAACCCAGCGGACTAAATGCTCCCCGTACGCAGAATGAGCTCTAAAGTCAACGCCGAAAACAGGTGCAGGCGGTGTTGAATGAGGGAGAGATAAAAAGGGTGGTCCGTGAGGGCAGCTGGACACTTCTTTTGGAATTGCATGTATTTGTAAATGTGTATGTCTATAAGTAGATAGGTAGATATGTGTGCGTGTGTATACTGAGTTAAAATAAAAAGTGTACAGTTGCCTTCACAAAGTTTACAATCTCTCTATATTATATATATTACATTCCAATGTGTTCTGATATATATTCTAAAGTGTTTACCAGCCTTCACCGACTTAACAATTTATATGTGTATAATAGATATTCAATATCACATATTATATTCTAATCTATTCTGTGACACATATGTTTTACAGTATATATTCTATTTGATTATGTTCTAATATATATATTCCAAAATAATTGTTCAGCTGCCCTCACAGACTTTATATATATTAGATATTATTATATCACATATATTCTATTCTGAATATATATTCTAATATATTTTATTATATGTTCTAATATATTCCAAGAGGTTTTCAGCTGCCCTCACAGACTTTACATTTTTTATGTATATAATATTAGGTACTATTTATATCCCATATATTCTAATCTATTCTGAGATATATATTCTAATGTTTTATTATATGTCCTAATATATATATTCCAAAAGAAGTTTTCAGCTCCCTTCAGACGCTACAATTTATATATAATATTAGGTATTATTTATGTGATATTACTACATTCTAATATATTCTGGAATATACATTCTAATATATTTTTATTATATATTCTGATTCAGAGAAGTGTTCAGTTACAGGAATATGGTTTCCGATTTCCGAGGTTAGACTTTACTGTCATTCAGATGAAGCCGTGGCTACTAGGAATAGCCTAGGTCATTTCTCATGCTCAGTGATTTTGTTCCTATTTCTCTTTTTTTTTTTTTTTTTTTTTTTTTTTTTTTTGGGTTCGCGGGCCTTCTCCTGTTGTGGCGTTCTCCC